ATTCTTTTTCTAGAACTATCTATCCACTTGTGACTGTTTCTTTAATTCTTCATTGCTACTTCCATAACACTAAACTCTAAATTCTTTTAAAGAAATGTTTTTTGTAAATAGAACATTTATTTGTCTGGCATATAGGTGAAGTTGATGTGGACAGTTCCTGCTGTTTCATTTCTGTGTGCCCTCTACCTCAGGGACTTCCAGCTGCTGTGCCCTCGGGTTTCTAAAACATGCATTACCTGACTATGTAGTCAGGGCACTGATCCCTTCTCCCTTAGACTGTCAAATGAAAAAATGACAACAGCCAGCACAAAGCTGTCTGGTGTGAATGCCCTCTCTTTAACCGTGTGTGTGTGTGTGTGTGTGTGTGTGTGAGAGAGAGAGAGAGAGAGAGAGAGAGAGAGAGAGAGAATAGAGTTTCATCTTATTGGTCATGTCACATAATAAGGTTTCATCTGATTGGTTAATTCTTGGTACCAGAAATCCTTATCTACAAGTATAGGCACTTGGTTATTTTAAAAGTCACTTTGGAACAAAAAGGGTAGGTAATTACTGTTAGTTTTTGTAAATCAATAAAAATTATACCTATTTTTTGTCAGATCAGCAAAAAGTATGATATAGCTTTTGGTGTGCCGCAGAATTTTAGTAATTAATGTGTGTGCGCCATGAAATAGGTTGAAAATCACTGTATCTCCATTTCTACTCACACCTGGTAAAACCTCTTGTGACCACAAGAGGGAGCAACGTTCATTATAAAAAATGATACGATTCTTCTCAGGAATTCTAGGATGTTCTGTGTGTTTCAGTGGTATTGTTAATACCTTGCTTATCACTGACCATTTAGTCTCTTGCCTTTTTTTTTTTTTACTCCCTTGGACCTTTAAAACTTTTATATTTATTTGTAACCATATTTCTTGTCACCTTACTGGTCTTGGTGACTCTTAGACTAGCATCATTGTATTATATTTGTGCATTATACATGAAGATAAATAGCACAGGAGGGAGAACTATCACTCTGCTCTCTTTTACTCTGATAGCCAAATTAGTGGCTAGCTCGCTGTCTAGTAGCCATCTAGCCTTTTGTAAAATTTGCTCTCTTCATCTGGGTTTTACAGCATTGTCAACTTACCTTTTACCTGCAAAAATTCATTGGACATCGGAGTAGTTAAATTCATACATGTAGTATACTTACCTTTTTAAATCATAACTTTTAAAATTTTGCCAAAAATTTATCTTCTTTGATATTTTGCTCATAATTCAGGTTTAATTTTTGTCAACTATCAAGTATTAGTATTGAATCGCATTTCTTTTCTCTAGCTGCCTTATGATAGAGTATCATTCTTTTTTTTTTATCCTCACTCTAGGACATTTTTCCATTTTTTGTTCACATAGAGTGGGAGAGGGAGAGAGAGAGAGAAACATCGACGTGAAAGGGACACATCGAGTGGCTGCCACCCACACGACCAACCAGGGCCGGAGACAAACTGCAGCCGAGGTACATGCCCTTAGCGGGAACCGAACCCGGGTCTCTCTGGACCACAGGCCGACACTCTAACCACTGAGCAAAACCGGCCAGGGCTAGAGTATCATTCTTTAAGCTACATTTTTTTTTTCATGTATTAAACCCCTCATCTCAGAAAGGACCTTATCTAACTTTTATAGTTGCTAGTGCTCTATGTAGCCTATAGACGTCTCAAAACCTAAGACCGTGTTGCATTCATCTTTGTGTCCTGGACATACTGCCCACAAGGTTTAGCTCAGGGCACAGGTGTCTACTAAATAACTCTTAGATTATTCTGATGTCCTTCTCAAATGACACTAGTTCCTTTGCATTTCTCTCTTAGCACCTATTTCTAACCCTTTCCTGGCTCCTTTCTGGTTTTGTCAAGTTCCAGGGCATAACCTGTGTTCAGTATTAGGAGAATTGCTTCATTTAATTCAGCTAGCATTTTCAGAGCATATGCAGGATGCTCTTAATTTCTCAAAAACCTACCTGGAAGTAAGTAGAACATTTGTGGTTAAGGATTAACAATGTTACTAAAAAGATTAAAATATACACAGATAGGGGAAGTGAATTTTGAATTAAGATTTGAATGTTCACCACTTTTAAGGTGATAAGAATATCATGAAGCAAAAGTCTACATGATTAAATATTGTTTTGCCCGAGGATTTAGCCTGTGTTGATTTTTCTCCCTACCATTCTTACAGTTTTAACTATAGCCTGTGTTAATTCTGAAATTGCTTTTTAGCCCTGACCTTTCCTGTGTGATCAGGGCTCAGGATTTTTAGACCAGGGTCATAAAAAATCTTTTTTTTAAAGTGAAATGCCTGAAGGAGCCAGGCCAGTAGCATAAATGAGAGAAGCGGGCTGAGCTTTTTACATGGTCACGGCAGCTGTGGCTCACAGGGGTGGCATGCCCTGCTTAAACAGGGATGGGACCTTACACCCACCAGTGGTTACTTCGAGTGCCCAGTAGTGCCAGATTGGCTGTGGAATCCAGGTTTTTGTGTGAAATCTCTTGGTTCTTCAATGAGGCTTTGAGAAAAAAAGTTGAACACAGCATGAACCAAATCAAACATACCTACAGGTCACATTCAACTTGAGGGGCTCTGCCTTTTTGACTTTTAGTTTAACATGTTGAAATACTTCCTGAGCATTTCTACTTCCTGAACAATTAGAATTACAGTGGGACTTCAAACTCAAGTTCAAGATAGAGCTCATCTCATCAACTCTTTATTCTCCTCACCTGCCTTCAACTGTTTTCTTCTCTTTTATTTCCTATCTTTTTTTTTTAAATTCTCACCCGAGGATATTTTTACATTAATCTTCAGGTAGAGTTGGAGGGAACAAGGGGGAGAGAGAGAGAGAGACAGACAGACAGAGAGAGACAGACAGACAGACAGACAGACATCAATGTGATAGAGACACATTGGTTGCCACCTGCACAACTCCAACCGGGGCTGGGGACGAACCGCAACCGGGGTATGTGCCCTTGCTTGGAATCGAACCCAGGACTCTCTGGTCCACGGATGATGCTCTTACCGCTGAGCCATACCTGCCAGGGCTCCCTATCTTATTTAATGATACTGCCATATACCCAGTTAATTCAAGTGAGAAACCTAGGAATAATCCCTGATCTTTCCTTCATACTTCTTAGTGACTCAAGTTAGTTACCCTTCTAAATATTTTACATTCATCACTTTCTTTCCATCCCTACTACTGTTATCTTCGTACATCGTCATCTCTTGGCTGGGCTGTTGGAAACCTTCTATGTTTATCCCTATTTTACATCAGTCCCACTCAGGTCTGTCTTCCACATTGCTTCTAAGTGCTCTATCTGAAACACACATGGAGTCTTGGGTGAGCCAGAGGGGAGAGACTTTAAAAGAGGTTGAAGAGCCCTGGCCGGTTTGTCTCAGCAATTAGAGTGCCATCGTGTAGACCAGAGGGTTGCAGGTTTGATCCCTGGCTCTGGTCGGGATCGTGTGGGAGGCAACCAGTTAATGTGTCTGTCACATTAATATCTTTCTCTCTCTCTTTCTTTCTCCCTCCCACTCCCCACCCTACCCCCAAAAATGGAAAAATATCCTCGGGTGAGGATTAATGACAACAAAAGAGAGGCTGAAGAATTTTTGCAATAGGAATTTCTCTAGAACAAATCTGTTTTGTTTTGTTTTTTAGTTTTTCTTTATTGATTTTAGAGAGAGAGAAAGGGAGAGGGCGAGACATAAACATTGGTGAGCGAGAACATCGATTGGCGCCTCCTGCATGCCCCCCACTAGGGATTTGGCCTACAATCTGGGCATGTGCCCGGTCCTAGAATCCAACTGACGACCTCTTGGTGCATAGGTTGATGCTCACCCACTGAGCCACACTGGCTGGGCATAAATCTGTTTTTTAAAAAGAGCTTTATGGCCCAGCTCACTGGTTGAGCATCAACCCGTGCACCAAGGCACATGCCCAAGTTGTGGGCCTGACCCCAGTGGGGGGCATGCAGGAGGCAGCCACTTGATGTTCTCTCTCATTGATGTTTCTCTCTCTCTCTACTTCTCCCTTCCTCTCTTTCTGAAGTCAATAAGGAAAAAAACATTTTAAAAAAGCTTTATGGAGCAGAAGAATTTTTAGTCAAGAACAGGCAAGAAAATCCAGAATTCCTAGTCTGGATTATATTGTTGAGATAGGTAAATTGAATTGTCTATAGAGGGCAGTGTTTCACAGTTTAAAGTTACTGTAATTTCCTGTGAAGATAAATACACTTTTATTGTTTATTTTGTGTTTTTGTTTTCCTTATAGATACACATTATAGTAATTTTAAGGTTAGAAATAAAAAACTTTAGCTGTATGTAATAAGTCAAAATATGTTTTAACGAAAGATAAAGATATAGCTTCAATAAAGGATATATTTATATCCAAAAATGTTCTGATCTTGGAATAATAAATGAGAACTAAAAATGAGAAAATATTTTGTTGTCCTATTCAAGTCAAGTAAGTCAAGAAAAATAAGCAGCATAAATTTCATTTGGTAATCTAAATTTATTAGAAAATTAGTGTCTGTGTAACTAAAATTTTCTTTTACAGAAGATTTCTTAAGAGTTTCTTATTTATATAGTAAAACAGGATATATTTCTTTGTAAGAAAAGCAATCACACATTAAAGCATACTAATTGGATTATGTTAGTGAGGTCATGGGCAGGATAATGCAGGAATAGTCCCTTTGGTGTGGGTTATTATTTCAGATCTGTTTTTGTTAAAAAATATTTTAGGTCAAATTTATTAGCCTCCATATACAAGTAATGTCTGATACAGAAAAGCATGGTGCATTAGTATAACAACGTGGTCAACCCCCACAGACTTTATAAGGGTTGCATAGTACGGAACTATAGCATTTTTGATGCTCGTGTATGTGTATGTGTTTGCCAATTTAATCTAGTGGTCCCTATTTGTGGTTTTACTACACTTGATCTTAGCCAAAAGTCCGAGAAGCGATTTTTTTTTTTTTTTCAGTTGTGACTCCAGACAGGATCCAAAGAGGAGTTTTACCATCTCTTCTCTGGGTTTTATGGAGACTTACTGTACCCTTCTGTGTTAGCCTCCTAAGGCACCCTATTTGTGGTTTTAAAATGGGTAATGTTTTAGTTAGCTTCAGAGGGGAATAGATAAATTGATATTCATTTGATATATTGTTGGGTATTTTCACATTTCTTCCATGTATTTACTTGTCTTTTATTTTATTTGCCATTTGAAGAAAGGAAGCAGTATGTGTATATGCCTGGATGTGTGTGTAAAACTTTGAGTGACAACTTCATTAAAAAAATAATGTTGTGGTATTAACTTAAGCAAAACTTGTGAATGCTTTTAGGACTCACATTTTACCTTTGAATAACACGACAGTTTTGCATCAGAGATCTCATATAAAATTGCTTCGGAATAAACTTCTAGTGTTTTCATTGATATTCGTGGGATTAGGTTGCACTGGGACCAGATTCTGAAATATGAGGGGTGTTAGTGTTGATGTTTCTTCCAGCGTTGCCTGAGACATACTCAGTGTCATCTTCCAGTGTTGTAGTTTCTCCTTAGGTTGAACATTTCATACATTTCAAAAATTTTGGTGGAACTCTTAGTAATGTATATTAATTTAAGTAAAAGGGAAATATACTTGGGAAAGATAATTTTTTACAAACTGAGGTATGTCCCATCTACTCTTTTAAACATATAATTAGGTTTTATTATAGCATTTTATCATATGATAGTTATAACACTGGGACATTTTAAATGTAAGGCCTGAAAATATGTTAATTTTTATTTGAAACCCAGGGAAGATAATTTTTTTGTTCCCCACTTACTTAAAATATATGGTGGTACAAAAGTCAGTCAAATAATATACCAGAAACTCAATGCATGTATTTTTTTCTAGTCTGAGGTATTCTATTTCTATTCTAATATATACCAGAAAAGTATTATCTTTCATATACATTCATACTTATATACATATATATATAAGATTCAGAGTAAAATATGTTACTAGTCTCATTAATTGTTTAACAGTCCTGTAGGGTAAGTTATTATTCCCTTTGAGAGGTTAAGAATTTTAACCAAGAGTTAAGTAATCAGCCCATAGCTAGAATATACAAAACAAGGTTCAGACCTAGGCTTGCCTAAAAGACATGCACTATTTTTTCTGCACCATATTGCTCAAAATGCTTTCATGATATATTATTTTATTTGTGCCTTTTTTTAAAATATTCATCAAATATTTGACCCTATTGTATTGGAATCTGATGCTCTTTTCTAGGACTACTTACCCTTTTAAAAGTAAGTATAGATTTCATTGTATTTTAAGCTAGTCTAGTATACTTCTCATTTTATAACTTTTTAAAGAGAAATAAACCCCAGATATGTTTCAAGGTGGCTTTATAGCTTTGTATCTTTCTTGACAGCATAGTATTATTATTTCTTATATATCTTAGTGGATATAAATGAATATTAACAGAATCATTAATAAATTAGAAATCGTAAAATAATAGGAAAGTGGTCTTCCTCTTTATTCTTTATTCTGAAGCCAAAGTCTCCATAACGTTTTGGTGAGAATTTACAGTCTTTGGAAGTATTTAGAAGTATTACTTTTTTTTTAATCCTCACCTGAGGATGTTTTTCTGTTGATTTTTAGATGGAGTGGGAAGGGGGGAGGGAGGGAGGGAGAGGAGAGACCTCGATATGAAAGAGACACATTGATTGGTTTCCTCCTGCACAACACTGACTGGAGCCCAGGATTGAACTTGCAACCGAGGTACATGCCCTTGACCGGGAGCCAAACCTGAGACTCTTGGGTCCAAGGGCCGACGTTCTAACCGCTGAGCCAAACCGGCCAGGGCTAGAAGTATTACTTTGGAGATTTACAGTGAGGAGAAATCTCAACATGGGATAAATATTATGATTTTAGAATTTTAATTTTATTACATACAGTATGTATATATAACCAGAAATCAATATAGATATTGATTAACCTGTAATACAAGTATAAGATTATAAGAAATATTTAAATCAAGTGAATCCAGAGCTTCTGTTTTGGAGATGATGGTTTGTTAACTTGTCATGTGTATACATAACGTGTGTGTGTGTGTGTGTGTGTGTCTGTGTGTCTGTGTGTCTGTGTGTGTCTGTGTTTAAATGTCCATACCACCTGCTATTGCTTAGTATTCAATATCAGTAATTATAGCAAAGGAAGTTTGATGGTGTTACTAAGAAATTAGATAACATTAGAACCTAAAAATAGCAAAGCTGTGTCTACATTTGGTGTTAACATTCCACCCCAAATAACCTTATCTCTATTGCGTACTTTACAATAAAGTGTTTGGACAGTTTAGTATATTACCTTTTTAAAGTTTTTAAAATTCCTAACATTTGGAGATATTAAAATTTTGTATTATAAACCTAGATGGGGAAGTTTTAAGGTTGATCTCCCTTCCCATCCCCCAAATTTGTGTCATGTGCAAAAGTTTTATATATTGAGAGATTTCATGTTTAAAATGTCTAATATTTTGTACAATAGTTGACCAAATCATTTTTATTACAATTTTAATATTTGTGTCCTTTCTACATGCTAATTAAGTCCATGGAGCATTTCTCTTGTATATCTTTTATTCTATGGAATTACTCTATATTTTTGCTCATTATTCAGTACTCTACTAGATTTCTATACTTATAAGTGCTTTTGTTTTCTTTTCAGATCTATTTGTGTTGTAAAACTAGGGGTGACTATGTTAATTTGTCCTTTGAGATTCACTTGAGCTAAGATTTATTGAGCCTTTCAGGTTGCGTTACTTAGCATAAACTAATGCTGTAATCCTGCTGAAATCTCGTAATAATAATGATTAATTATATGTCATCTGAAATTTTTAAAGAATTTATGCACTTTGAATGTGATTTTCCTAGTAAACTCAAGATACCAGATCACTTAGTTTTTACTTCTTGCCTGTAGCATTTCTGCTGATCAATGTAAAATCATGAAATCATCCAGTCTAATTATTGTCATTGGGTTGTGACTTAGAAAATTGCAATAGAAGATTTTATAAATTTTAAAATAATTACTGGACACACACACACACACACACACACACACACACACACACACAGCTTTGTGTTTGTAGTATCTTCCAAGGAACTTTAAATTGGGGATGTTTCCCTTTAGACCAATAACTAACCTCCTTGGCTTTATCAAGACTTTCCAGGGATGCTGATGGGGTGCTTTAACTTAGTCTCTCCTAAGTCATGATGCTGTTTTTGTCATCTTTGGATACTCTCTTGTTCTTGTCTATCAGTAAGATGTGCAGCATTCTTTCACAGTCTTGCTTTTTGCCAGGTGTCACCTAAGCATGTATATCAAATCTGAGTAGTGAAGTAATAGAAGAGTTAACATATTTGGTACCTAAATATGTTTGCTAAATGATATGTTAATTTAAAGAAAGAATTTGACACTGTACTTGGAGCCCTCTAAGGTCATGTACATGTAAGTTACTAAAGTTTCAGCACATCAGAAATAATCTCATGAAAAACATAAGTAATTAGAGATGTAAACAGTTTTCTTTGTTTACGTGTGTGTGTGTGTGTGTGTGTGTGTATCTTTGACAGATTTTTAAGGAAACATGTATAAACCTCTACTCAGGCTAAAAACCATGTATTTTTAACAATTTGCTATACCAACCATACTTGAGTTTTGTTTTTTTGTTTGACTATTTTTGTGCTTAGATAAAATCTGGAGTCTTTACTACCTTGTGCCTATTGGGAAAGGGTGAAATGTCACTTATGGCCTTTTTTCCAAGACGACATATTAACTTTCGATTATTTATATCATTTAGGAACAAGAAATTATACAATTGCAAAGTGAACACGACAACAATTCTTTTTTTTTAAACATTTGTTTTTTATTTTATTTTATTTTTTTATTCTCACTCGAGGACATTTTTCCATCTTTTGTTCAGACAGAGTGGGAGGGAGGGGGAGAGAGAGAGAGAGAGAGAGAGAGAAACATCGACGTGAAAGGGACACATCGAGTGGCTGCCTCCTGCACGACCCAACCATAGCTGGGGACAAACTGCAACTGAGGTACATGCCCTGAGCGGGAACTGAACCTGAGCCTCTCTGGACTGTAGGCTGATGCTCTAACTGTTGAGCCAAACCGGCCAGGGCAAGATGACAATTCTTAAGTTGCAAGTTTCTATTAAGTTATTTTCACAGGTTAGTGCAAAATGCTCTGAAATTTTGCAAAACTTAGAATATACTTCTATTCAAATAATACATTTTAAAGAAATGGGTTTATTTTAACCACAACAAAAAAAATGGTTAAATATTTTTAGCCCATCTCCACACAATGGCATTTGATTTAAATGCCATTCCACTTATGTACTTTATTTTTAATTTTTATCTTTTTTATATATATATATTTTTATCCTCACCCGAGGACATTTTTCCATTATTTGTTCAGATAGAGTGGGAGGGAGAGAGGGAGAAAGAGAGAGAGAGAAACATCGATGTGAGAGAGACACATCGACTGGTTGCCACCCGCATGACCCAACCAGGGCCGGGGACAAACTGCAACTGAGGTACGTGCCCTTAGCAGGAACCAAACCCAGGTCTCTCTTGACCAGAGGCCAACCCTCTAACCACTGAGCCAAACTGGCCAGGGCTCATTCATGTACTTTAAAAATCTATTCAGTGTAACTTTACATATTCTTTTAAAATATTGTTTATAATAAGCACAAGCATAGTAGCCTTGTGATGCCTGGCTATGGTAAGGTTCTGTGGGGATAGCATTGTTTGTATGAAAATAGTAAAAGCTATCTTGCTCACTTTCCTAGACCACTTTTTCTTTCCCCCTTCCCTGTGTACTGGAGTTCCTTGTCAGCTGTGTAAATATAGACTCACGGGAGGCTTGAGATTTTCTAAGTATTTGAAATGTAATCTATACCGTAGTTTAAGTGTGTGCTGTTTTACAGATAGCCCTCATTTCATATGGAGTCCTGTATTTAAATAACTTACATCATTGCTATTCTAAGTAGTGCTTTTGCAGTCAAACATCTGAAAGGTGATTGACTTTTTCCCCATATCTCCATAATTTATAGGAAACCATAA